TAGTTACGTATTACACTGTCAATTACAGTTGCAGACCAGCGTTTCTACAAAGTTAAGTAAGTATTAATATAACTATTTAGTATATGCACAACATAGAAAATAACATTTTCATAGCGGATATAGTATAATATCTATTCTCAGTTTTATACACTAAGTCTATATTAAAAATGAACTTTATCTATGATATTTAGTCATTGAATTTAAATTTATAAGAGCAATATTATTGATTTTATGTTATAACTTTATTGTATGTGAAGATATTTTTAAAAATACTTTAATCATTAATTTTGTTAGTGGTTTGAGGTTTCTGGTAAATTTGATTTAATTTAGCTATGGCAAATTCTGTACTTTCATAATGATTGAGATTAAAAATGTTCATAATAATTGATATCTAAACTTACTATAATAATATTAAAATAATTGCTTGCAAATCACTTGCAATAATAATAATTCAGAGTTACTGATATATTTCATATTTAGATTTCAAATGAGTATACTATAATACTATTTAGTAAAATGAAATGAAAAACTAAATTTAAATGTAACTTACACAAATAAGGAACTAATTAAAATTAAAAATAAATATATCCTGACATAAGGACCGATTCCTAAAATACACAAGATTCTTATGTATTATTTTATTATTTACACTGTTATTGATAATTGTATGGTCGCAATTCAATGTTTACAGAAATTTTTACAACTTAATGTATTATTTATAGAAAATAAATTAATTGTAGCAAAATAAATGTAATATAATATATAGACTGATAGATTGCCTCGCTTCATGACCTGAAGCATTTTTCATACACAATGATATAATACCTATCATTGATTTAAATTGAACATTACTTATCTAAGGTGTCCCAATCAATGATGAAGTACACTCATATACCAACAATTTTCACCAATTTAATAATGTTTCATCTATAGTAACATTTTAAATACAAGGTTCTAGTATCTAATCCTGGCACCTGCTATCACTTTTAAAGTAAAGATATTAAAGTTCACAAAGGTTTATCGTTTTCTTTAGAGATTGCCAAAAATAGTCGATTTAATTAACAATTATATCTAAAAACTGTATTAGTTATTCAAAATTAAATCAGGCAACAATCACCAATCTATAATTCATATTCTTTGAATAGTTTCAATTATTCTATTGATTATGAAATGTATTTAAATAATTTAAAAAGTACAAAAGTACTTATTATGATTGTCCTTATTATTGATATATTTTTAGACCGAAATTTATTGCCAGCTGTTTCTTTAGAAACTCAACCTGAAACTAAAAACAACAAAATAAAATATACAATGAATGACAAATCAGATAAACAAAATTCGCGTAATTTTCTTCATGATACTTTAAATTTTCCAATATCTACAGACTTTAAATTGTAAATATTAATAATTTCTTTTAGCATTAAATTTATTTTTATTATATATAGGTTATTATTTCAGATCACAAAATAAATTACTATTCAAAAATTGATATACTAACAATTCAAGTACAATTCTGTACAATCAAAACTAATAAATACTTCTAATACTGTTCTACTACACAACACAATCAAGTGCAAAACTTATTTCATCTCAAATTAATCTTATAAATACAAAGTTACAAAATACTAGTAAATTGAAATATTATTTTAAATGTAAAAACTTATAGTGATGTTCCATTTAGAGTTATAGTTAATAGATTGTGATAAAAAATTACCATATGTTAATATTGTTCAGTTTCATATAAAGATTTCAACATCAAGATTGTTTTATATTTAGTAGATATAAAATTGTTTATTGTCTTTTATCTATATTTTATTTTGAGTTGAGTTATAAGTATTTAAAATTGTAAATTTTATACATCTTAAAATACTTATAACTCACTTCAAAATTAAAATATAGTAAAAGCCCATTAGGTCGTTTTAATAATATTTTTACTTTTAAATTTTATAAGAAGCCAATTCACTCTAATTTTTGATCTAATGGAGCAAAACATGATCTGCTGAGCGTAAAATTGCCATGTTACGCATTTGTAAGACAGAGACAACACATGCGGGTATCACATCCTCTTAAATGAAGTAATTTTGACCCTTTTTTTTTAACAAACTTTAATAATGTATTAATGATATTTATTATTTAGCTATATATTTTGGCATTGTCAGTAATATAAATTAAAAGTCATGTTTTTACAATTTGTCAGAATTATACTAGTAATTACAGTTCAATGTACAGATGGTTAAAATTGGTATTTTTAAAATAATTTTAATAGTCTTTAATGAGTGTATTGTTATAATTTATAAACAAACTACCTTGAATAGATCTATTTTAACTTTAAATTTTAATAATTTATTTACTGCAATATGTTGAATCATAGCCTATATAGTTTATAGTACATAAATATTAATTACAAATATTTCCTATTTTATGCATAATTACAAGTACAACAAATAACAAAAATATATAGTTAATAGTTTATTAAAATTACATTTCAATCTTCTACTTATTTTCAGAACATCAAAAAACACATCTGTGAAACCTACGTCACTCATTAAATCACAGTTAAAACCTTTTATTAAACCTATTAAGTCAATTAAAAATAAAATTGTTTATGATTATAAAAACAATACATATACTATTGAATTAGCTACTAATTTATGTCAGCGTCTATTGAGTGGAGAAAATATATTTATGTGTAGAAAATGTGGTAACATTTACACTGAACATAAAGATTTGTTAGATCACTATTTGACTCATGTTAAATGTAAAACAAACCTAATAATTCAAGAAAAAGATAAAAGGTAATGTTGAATAATATTTTATTAATGCTAAAATATTTAGACTAATAATATTTGTTATTTTCAGAAAGATCATACCAAATGATAATGTAAAGAAAGAAAATAAAGATGTTGGTAAAAAAATTATTGATAATGATAAAAATATTTTCAAACAAACTATACCAGTTATTAAATCTACATTAAATTCAAAAAAAAATAAAGTTATTTTTCAAGGAGAGTGTATTATGTGTCATTCAGTTTTTCCCGATCTTGGAGAACATATAAGAACTGTTCACCTCGATGAATTGACTAGAAATAAAGTTAATATTTACCGTTGTACAATTTGTGGTATGGAGTTTAATATTAAGCAGCATTTACGGACCCATGAGTTGTCTGCACATAAATCTGCTTGTACTCATACTTGTGAACATTGTCTTAAGTACTTTTTATGTAAGGAAGACTTAGAAACACACATTGAATCTCATTATGGTGACATTATGAAGTATTTATGTCCATATTGTGATGCTGGCTTTCCTAATTCAAATGGATTAAGAACTCATCTCATTAATCATATTGATTTCAACAATTCTGAGTACTCAGTTTCAGAAACACCAGTTAATGAAATGGAATATAGTCCTACAAGACCACCTGAACAATATGATCACTTTTTTCCTGAATTAGATGAACACGACGAACACGTTGACGACGTTTATATTGAAGAAGTTGATGATAATAGTTATCAAGTTAGTTTTGTAAAGGACAATGAAGATAAAGCATCATCACAAATAAACTTGCTTATTGACGATGGCCATGAAATTGATACAGAACTAAATAAGTTAGCATTATTTTTTTGAAAGTAAATTTTAATTTAGCCATTAATTTGTAATATAGTGTAACATTCAAAAACGTTTTTGTTATTAATTCTTGTATTATTTTTTAGTATACCTTCAGAAGATAATAACAAAGTTATCATCAATGAACAACAAACGTCATTATTAAATAAAAAGCGAATAAGTTATACAGTATGTAGAATATGCATGAATATTGTAAGTTATTCAAGAATTGGAAGGCATATGAAGAAAAAACATAATAATGCTGCTCCTTATCAATGTGAGATTTGTCATGCTGAGTTTAATCGAAAGCATGTCATGGATGACCATAGGAGAAAACACACAAATAATAAACCTCACAAGTAATACATAAAACTCTGCATAGATATTATTGTAGTGTATCACATGTTAATTTTAAATGATTAAAATAATATGTTATTTAAAAAATGCTTTATAATATACATGATTCTTTTTTTTTTAGGTGCTCAAAATGTTCTAAATGTTTTACCTATAAACATCATCTAAATAGACACATGATGATAGTTCATAATTCTGATACATTAGAAAAAGTATTCAAATGCTCTGTATGTGATAAAGCATTTTCATTTAAGGAATATTTAACTCTACATATCAAGTATGTTTATCTAATAAAATACTAAAATAGACTTATTATTGTGTATGTTATATATAAAAAAACAATACATTTTATGTGTTTGTATTGTTGTATTCAATAGTAGCCGCCATAAGGGTAAACATTATATGTGCCAAGTTTGTGGCAAAAATTTTTCAACCAATGCTGCGCTGAATAAACACCAGTTATGCCATACAGACGAACGACCATTTATGTGCGAACATTGTGGGCGGACTTTCAAATGTAAAACTCATTGTGACACACACAAAAAAAATATGCATCCTAAAGATCATGAATTAATAGAACCACCAGAAAAATTTGAATGTGAACTTTGTAAAAAACTATTTAGTACAAAAGTATACCGCGACATGCATCTTAAGCGACACAACGGTCAAGGTCATCAATGTGATGTATGTTACAAACTATTTGTTTCCAAAGCACATATGAAAAGACATATTAAAATAATGCATCGAAATACATAGATAGTGAATAATTATTTAGTGTTATTTAAATTATACTTCCTTTTTGTTCTATTTTTGTTTTGTAAATATTGGTATGATTTCTCAAATATTAATTAATTTATATTTCATTATATGTAATTATAAATATTTATAACAAAATGTCTAGTGTTAAACATAATTGGTCTTAATTGTTATATACTATTCTTTACTATAATCAATTTTTTTCTCATAGTTTATTATGTTTAGAGAAATGCATAGTTAGTTGCATTATCATTAATCAATGCAATACGCTCGAAATATTTTCTAAAAATAAAATAGCAAATATGAAACAAATCTATCAGAAATATCTATAAATTATTATTGACAACCTTAAAAAATAAATTGTCTAAATAGTGTCACAATATAAAAAGTTATATGAGGGACTTAATTACTACTATAAGCTACTGAGAACATTCTCTGCTTAAATCACCTAAACTGAATGTATTTACCAGGTAGATCTATCTATTTTTTAAACTATTATACACAAAATAGGTAATTGAAAATAACTTAATATGATACGATATTTTATTAATTTGTCATGGGCTGGTCATATTCCATCGAGAAGAAAAAATAGTGCAGATGAGATAATTGAAGAACTTAGTCTTAAAAAAATAATACGGATATTAAATTTTTAATTAAAAATATAATATACATACCTACGTAATCTATAAATTATAATATTACTTTTCTTTGTAATTAAATATAAACTATTAAGTAAACCACCAATAATTTGATTATCTATATGACTTTATTCCTACAATGTAAGTACCTGACTAACTGACTACGTCTCGACAAAAACTGTAAATAGTAAATACCTACATTCTACGTCCTATTATTTTGCCACTATTTTTTTTAAATAAATAATAAATGTTTTGGTCATGCTTTCAACAGGCTACCAGGTTTCACCAAACCAGCTACCAAATACCAAAGCTGATACTATCTGGTTTTTGTGGTTATGATAAACAACTGTTCTAATATGATAATATTATTATTATTTAAAACGTGCGACTGTGCGAAAGCCGAAAAGTGTGTAACGAGTAACGACTAACGGATAGCAAACCAGTAACTAGTAAGGTGTTCCAGTCAAAGAAGTAGTTCAGTATTTGAAACACTTGAAACTTTGAAATTTAACTTGTAGATCAATTTCCATATGGACCAGTGACAGTAGCTATCAAACGTCAAACGATGGACTCGTTCGATATATTCAAAAAGCTGTCCGTCGGCGCAAAATTCAAAAAACCAGAAAAAACTGAGATTAAACCCGAAGTAGTATATTGATGAATTACAGATGACAATATGAACGTCTTTAATTTTTATTTTTTTTCTCTGTCAAAGAATGAAAAGTCTAGCATGAAACAGGTTAAAGTAAAAACAGTCGGTGATAATGTCCCTGGAGCACTGTCAACTTTTGAAATGATGAAAAAAACCTATTCTTTGAGCCCAGTACTAATGGAAAACCTCAATAAATCTGGTTACACTGTACCAACGCCAATTCAGACTCAGGCTATACCAGTTATGTTGCAAGTGAGTCATGAGTAACTGGAAGATTTTATTAACATAAGTATAAAAATTAATATCTTGATTTGTTAGAAAAGGCAAATACTTGCCTGTGCTCCAACTGGATCTGGTAAAACTGCCGCATTCTTAGTACCTGTCATTCATCATTTGAATAAACCATTAAATAAAGGATTTAGAGCTTTAATTGTGAGTCCTACCAGAGAGTTAGCAAAACAAACATTAAGGTGTGTATAATAATGTTAAGAAAAAAAATTACATTATATTTAACTAATTTTTAATTTTATTATTTATTTGTTTTTCTACAGAGAATGTACAAGATTATGTGAAGGAATTGGATTACGAGCACATACATTTACCAAAATTAATAAAGACAAAGAAAAATTTAATCCAAAATTAGCTCAAAAATTTGGTAAAGATTATATTGAATATATAATTTAAAAAAATAATTTTACTATTAGTTTTTTAGTTTGATTTATATTAAATTATTAATTTTTTATATAAAAACTAAATTATCTAAGTAAAAAGTATTAACAGTACCAATATTTAATAAATTCAATGTCAATATCTCTCAATTCTCAAATAAAATTTAATAAAATTTTATTAATTTTAAAACATAAAAACTAAATCATTTGATATTTATTGTCACCGAGATGTAAAACACAATAATATTCTTAGCATAAAGAAACTATGGTACAGTATATTGGTTATTATAGTAAGAGCAGCTGCAAGACAAGACATAAATTGTGATTACTTACTTAAGCTTCCAACTCAACCTCAATGCAGTATTTTTGATTTCTCATTATACATAATATTCATTAAACCATTATTTCAAATGTATTGAATATTCGCTAAAGTACATACAACATTTAATAATTAATTATAACAGTCTTAGGGTTTTTGTTATAGCTATACTTAGACATAATTAATTTAGCTGTGGACAAATGTTAGAATGCTTGCCTTTTATACCATAGTTTGTGTTATAAAGCTAATTATATTTACCATTGTTAATTACATTTTTATTTATAATATGAATTTCAGATATTTTAATAGCAACACCTAATCGACTTGTATTTCTACTGCAACAAGAACCCCCAGCTGTTGAACTTAACAAGTAAAGTTTATTAAATATTTTCAAATTTGTAAAATTAATAAAAAATATTTTTAACTTTGATATTTTACATAATAGCATTGAGTGGTTGATAATAGACGAATCAGATAAATTATTTGAAACTGGAGTTCGAGGCTTTAGAGACCAATTAGCAACAATTTATAAGGCTTGTGGTCCAAATGCTAAACGTGCCATGTTCAGTGCTACATATACTGTAGAAGTTGCAAAATGGTCAAAGAAAAATCTTGATGGTCTTATAGCAGTAACAGTTGGTAATAGGTATGTTGTTGTTATTCAACTAATATATTATACAGGGGGATTCAAAATGTATGTTTCAGCTATTTCATCATATAAATATTCATAATAGAAAAAAACATTTAGTTGAAAAGTTTTTATTTTTTGAAATACCTAAAATAATTAATAATTTTTATATTTTTTTTTCAAGTTTTTTATGAGAGATTTTGGAGGTCAACATAAAAAATTCAAATAGAACCATATTATTTTTTGCTATCTAAATGTGAAAAATTCTTATTAAAATATTTTGACGTTCAAAAACTAAAATTTATGAGTAGTTTATAAGTACATATTTAAAATTTTGTTGAAAAAGTTACCATTTAAACTCTTAAATTGACCACCAAAATATTGCAAAAAAAAAAAAAAAATATATAAAAATTAATAATTTTTCCAGATATTTCGAAATTAAAAAACATTTATATTAAACACTTTTCTCTATTATGAATATTAAAGGTTTCACTGTTGATTTATTTTTCATATAATTAAAGAATAAAATAATAGCAATGCTAATATTTTCAGAATAAATTATACAATATAAGCATGAAAAATGTTGATTCTAAAATAATATTTTGAAATTGCATTGTAATAAATAATGATCTATTATTAATTCAAATATCCAAAGAATACTATTGTACCCAAGAAAATAAACTAGATCCAAAAAAATTAATTTCCCTATGATTATTATTATACTTACTTCCCGAAGTTTTTAATTTGATTTCATATGTTATGACTATAAATTTTAACATTTAAATCTACATATTATAATATGTTATTGATCATTAATATTTTGGTTTCATTAGTGTTATATAAATGTAAATTGTTCTTACCAATCTTGCCATAATAATTTTTTATTTTATATCTAGAGTCGGGCACAGATGTAGAGCAAAGATCTGAGTGTATACGGGGTAGAACAACAATTTTGTCATAGCTTAAGTACAAAATACATTTCATAATTTTAAATTGTTTTCTCAATATCATTATAATCTTAGTATAATTAATTATATTTAAAATAACTATATCTAAACATAATTGCTCTGTCTTGTAAAGTACTCATTCATTATTAATATTGTTTAATGTATATTGTTGTTGTACAGGAACACTACAACTACAACAGTCAAACAAGATCTTGTATTTGTTGGCAACGAAGAAGGAAAATTAATTGCAATGAGAGATTTAGTTAAAAAAGTAAATGTTATAAGCTGCAAAAAATATATCAATGCTCTTTATGCTTTATACATTTTTAAATTGTATTTCAGGGTCTAACACCTCCAGTTTTAATTTTTTTACAATCTAAAGAGCGTGCAAAAGAGCTTTTTAGTGAACTTATTTATGATGGAATTAATGTAGATGTTATACACTCTGATAGAACTCAACAACAAGTGAGTTATAACTTATAATAAAGAGAAAAAAATATAAATATATTGAATAATACAAAACAACTTATTTTTAGAGAGACAATACAGTAAAAGCTTTTCGGGAAGGAAAAATATGGGTTTTAATTTGTACAGAGCTTATGGGTCGTGGTATTGATTTTAAAGGTGTTAATTTGGTAATAAATTATGACTTTCCATCTTCAGCCATTTCGTATATTCATAGAATAGGTAGAACAGGGCGAGCAGGACGCTCTGGTAAAGCTGTTACATTTTTTACAAATGAAGACAAACCAATGTTGAGAAGGTAAATTAATTTCTTTTTATGTAATAGATTAAGCTAGCTATGTAATATTTTTTTTTTTTTTTGTTAAAGTATTGCCACAGTGATGAGGGATTCAGGATGTCCGGTTCCAGACTATATGTTAGAAATGAAACGATTGCATAAGAACACTAGAAGAAAGTTAGAAAAACAATCTATTGATAGGAGTGAAATTAGGGCAAAACCACATAGATATCAAAAGTAAGTAACTAAAAATCAAGTAACTTTAAAACTAAAAAATAATATTTTTCTATGCCAATAGCATGTACAAATGGTAATTTTATAAGTATGATAATTTGCATAAGGTTTTTTGTTTTAATTTTTTCTTAATATGACCCACTAATATGCCATGCTTTTTCTATGACGTAACACAATTATGCACCAAATTAGTAACATGGTTTGTCA